TTGCAAAAATTGTCATTTTTTATGTGCACATTTGCAAAAATGCTACTTAGAGGTGTTCATTTGTAACAATGTCACTAATTATAGATTTTTAAACCCTATATCTTAAAATTCTAAACACTAAAAAATATTTTGACCCCTAAACCTCCATAAACCCTCATAACTAAACTCTAATAGAACATAGTTTACCCAAATATAAATAATATAAAGAAAAAATAATTTTGAAAAGTGGCGTTTTTTGAAATTTCTCAAAAGAAAATTGGATATATATCTATATTATGTAGTATAGAAATCCGAAATGTGATAGTAAGTGAAGCTATTGGTCACCAATACGTAATTGGTAATCTAATTTTTTAAAGATTAAAAGAATTGATAATTGGCTAGTTAAAAGATGTAAGAAATACCGATAAAAAAAAATCGATAAAAAAAATCGATAAAAAAAAAGTAAATGTAGCATTTTTGGTCGGTAACACTTTTAATATCATTTTTTTTTTGTGATTGATAACTATAAACACTGTGTAACCTATCAATACAAGGTTACTAATCAAACCCACTAACTAATCCACTGTACATCAACGTATGAAAGGGATTATTTACATGAATCAAGGATAGAGAGATTTGTTCTCTGCCTCAAACATCGAATACCGATAATTATGTATATGTCTATTTATGGAGGGATGTTATATATTGATAAAAAAATTAAGTGTTGTGGGGATAATATATTGATGGCTTTGGGAAAGGAAATAGTTGTGATCTAAGACAGCACTTGCTTTGGTGGTCTCGTCTCCATGTCGGCTCAGCTTCAGAAACATATTACTTGGGAATGGTAAACCTAATTTCTTATTCATCTAACACGTAAATGTTTTAAATAATATTTGGTTCTTTTTTTTGGGGATAAATAAAGATTTGCATTTTCAATTGGTCCTTTTATTTTCTAGCTAAATATCATCTACGTCCCGATTCATGCATACGCTTCTTACGCAAAGGATGCTTGTGTGTGTGTTTTTATAATCTGATTTTTTAATGTATATAAATCATGTGTTTGTAAAGGGATGTACGTAGTAAAAATATTAAAATAGGTTCTTTCACTCTTGTAGCATGATACGTACGATTATTCTTTTATGATATTTATAGACTACTCACGTGTTGCCATATGTCATGGGTGTATAAATACGAATGAACATTTATACTATAGAATTAGAAAATAGACACATATCTTAAAAAATTATAATCTAATTGGTTCAATATATATTTGAGATGCAAATAAAACCAAAATCTCCTTTTGTTGTATTCACAAAACACCTT